TTTTAAAGCGTCCTATGACTCAACAAAATCATAGGAACGACACAACAGGACGATTTCTCTCTCTCTCTCTCTCTCTCTCTCTCTCTCTCTCTCTCTCTCTCTCTCTCTCTCTCTCTCTCTCTCTCTCTCTCTCTCTCTCTCTCTCTCTCTCTCTCTCTCTCTCTCTCTCTCTCTCTCTCTCTCTCTCCTCTCTCTCTCTCTCTCTCTCTCTCTCTCTCTCTCTCCCTCTCTCTCTCTCTCTTTCTCTGTATGTGTGTGTGTGTGTGTGTGTGTGTGTGTGTGTGTGTGTGTGTGTGTGTGTCTGTGTGTGTATCCTTTGACAAAATCCTCTCTCCATAGAAAATTAAAGTACATTTTCTGATCTACACCTATCACTCTTTCTGTATATCTCTATCTATCTATTCGCGTTTCCCTCCCCCCCCCCCCCCCCAAAAAAAAGCATGAACAAACAAACACATAAACATACAAACAGACAAACAAACCTGGTTCTTGGGATAATAGTCATGATTGCCCAAAACCGGCAAAACATCAGCATTTGGAAATTTACTTTTCAAGACGTCAGTGAGTGAGCTAATAATATCGACGACTTTATCTGTTGAAAAATACTTGTCGTCTACATGTGCTGTGTCGTCTCTGTGGAGGAGAAATGTCGATGATATAATTATTATCATCATTATTAATATCATTATCATTATTACAGTTACTGTTATTGTTATTACTATTAGCATTATTATTGTTATTATGATAATTATTATTATCATTGTTATTGCTATTATTATTATCATTATCCTTATCACTATTATCATTATTATTATTATTATTATTATTATTATTTTCATTATTATCATTACCATTATTAATTTCATTATTATCATTATTATCGTTATTATTACTATCTCTATTATCATTTTCATTATTATCATTATCATTATTTTTCATCATTAGTATTATCATCGTCATCATTACTATTTCATTATTATCATTATCATCATTATTTTTGTCATTTTTACCATTGTCATTATTATTATTATTGTCATTTTTTTCATTACTGCTAAAAGTGTTAGTATTTTTATTATCATTATTATTACTATTATTATTATCATCATTATTATTGATATCATGGTTATTATTGTTATTATTATCATTATTATTATTATTATTATCATTATTATTATTGTTTGTTGTTTTTTATTGGTGTTGTTGTTATTGTTATTATTATTACCATTATTAGTATCATTATTATTTTTATTATCATTATTATAAAAACAATTGTGATAAGTATTATTATTATTATCATTATTATTAATATCATTATCATTATTATTATTACCTTTAATACCTTTATTATCATTATTATCATTATTGTTATTATTGTTATTATTATTATTATTACTATCATTATTATCATTATTATTATTATTATTATAATTGTTATTTCTATAATTATCATTATCATTTCTATTATTATTCTTATCTTTTGTATTATCATCATTGCTGTTATTATCATTATTATTCTATTATTATTGTTATCGTTACTATCATCATTATTATCATAATCGCCAAATAATACAGACAAATAATGGAAAAACGAAGAAAGAAAAAGAAACAAAAAGATGAAGAAGAAAAAGAGGAAGAAGAAAGATAATATAAAAAAAGAAGAAGAAGAAGAAGAAGGAAAAAGAAAAAAAGAAAAAGAAAAAGAAAAAGAAAAAGAAAAAGAAAAATAAAAATAAAAATAAAAGAAAAATAAAAAGAAGAAGAAAAAGAAGAAAAAAAAGAAAAAGAAAAAAAATAATGGAAAAACGAAGAAGGAAAAAGAAGAAAGAGAAGAAGGAAAAAAAGAAGGGGAAGAAAACAAAAATAAGAAGAAAGAAAAAGAAGGAAAAGAAAAAAAAAGAATAAGAAGGAAAGAGAATAAGAATAAGAAAAAAATAAGAATAATAAGAATAAAAAATTATAATAGTAAGAAGAAAGAATAATAATATTAATAAGAAAAAAAATAGAATAAGACGAAAAATAGAATTATAATAATAATAAGAAGAAAGAATAATAATATTGATAAGAATAAAAATAACAATAAATAAGAATGAGAAAAAAATAAAAAAATAAAAAGAAACAACGACAACAACAACAACAAAAAAAAAACAGTAAGATTCTCACCCAGTCCACATGATGAAATCCGGATTCGGGTGGATCCTCTTCATCGCATCCACCGCCGACTCCACCAGCTTAAGTGGAGCGTCGCATGCGTAGTCGCCGAATATCCCTGGTTGAGCGCCGGTGTAACCCCTTTGCAACGGTTAGTGGGGGGGGAGGGGGGGTTTAGAGGGGAGGGGTGTTTTTAGAGGGGGTGGGGAGGGGAGGGGGGGAAGGGTTAGATGGGGGTGGGGTGGGGAGGAGAGGAAGGGGTGGTTAGAAGGGGATGGGGTGGGGAGGAGAGGAGGGGGGAGGGGAGGGGAGGGGGGGTTAGAAGGGGGTGAGGAGGGGTGAGAGGAGGGGA